CCCCCGCGCGCCGCCGGGAGCTGCGCGACTCGGGGCGCCGGGAAGCTCCGGCCTTCGTGGAAGCTGGGCTTAGGGTAAAATTTGCGGCCACGCTGCTCCGAGGTCGCGCCTGCCCCTCCAAATCTCAAAGGCAGGTGTTCCGGGTTCAGATTACGTGATTATTTTCTTTTGGATCATGGGCGGTATAGAACTCCCGAATGCCTACCCCTAGCGTAAGCTTCCCGCGAACATGGTGTTTTCGTCGCTGCGGTATCAGAACCTGGCGTATCGTAGGCGCTCAGTAAATGTTTCTTAAATGATGAAAGTATAGCATATATTGCAAGTTAAAGTCTTGCTACACGGAGCACAAGTTTTATCTTCGTGGGATTCGTAAGGCAGGAGCACATAGTCCCTATGGTGTCTCCTTGGTAGGCGCTACCTACCTAACAGTCTGGCTTGCTCTCTTTAAAACTGACATCAGAGCAGGGCGCGGTGGCTCACACCTGTAATCCCAGCACTTTGGGAGGCGGAAGCGAGAAGATTGCCTGAACCCAGGGATTCTAGATCAGCCTGGGCAACTTGGCGAGACCTCGTCTCCACAATAAATCAAAAAATTAGCTGAGTGTGGTGGCTCGCACCTGTGGTTCCAGCTACTTGGAAGGCTGAGGTGGAAGGATTACCTGAGCCCAGCAGGGCAACGGAGTGAGACTCTAACTCAAAAAAAAAGAAGAAAAATCTTCAGTTAGGCTTCACCAAGTGTTCTTATAACCATAGTCGTTTATTCTTTCAGGTATATAGAAGTATACAAGATCAGTTGACATTATACATTACATTTATTTTGCATTCTGAAAACTTTTTACAAGTTTCATTGATTTTTCTACCAGCCACAATTTCCCCATAGAACTGATGCTTGAGAAACTAAAATTTGTACAATGCAACACACCAGCTGCTTGTTGACCGGCTCTTCTTCCTTATGTCCTTAAGTATTTGATGTTAGAGTAGTCCTTTCAAATTCATATTGCTGAATATTGAAAGAGTGCAGGAAGTTTCACCCCAAAATATATGGCTGCCTGATATCATGAATATTTTGAATTAAAAATCCTTAGAGGTCAACCAGCCCTGGGAGAGAATTTTTCCCTAATTACATAAAGTTAGGACTCACCCACCAAGTAGAACAATTATTCTCATTCCTTTCCCAGTTATCTCATTATCCATTATAGGTAAGATAACCAAGAATGTAACCACATCTGGGCAGACCCTTGAACAAGATGACGACTGTTTCTAAGTGATGCTGGGTGAGGTGAAGCACAAAACTCTTGGATTCTTTGGCTTATCCCTAAAGTGAATCTTAGAGTACCCAGTAAAGTTTCAAAACAAAGTTTATTAGAGAAAGAAAAGAAGAAAGAGACATTCTAGAGCTGGCAAGGGTGAAAGAAACCATACCTTTTGCTTTTTACTATAGATCTTATATACCTTTACAATAATTGAAATGCTAAAGAGGGTGGAACACAAGGTAACCACTCTCCTCCTGATGGAAGGAGGGGTGGTCTTATCATTTCTATGGTTTTGATCAGTTAAGGGGTGGTATTAGGTCTTCCCCCATCGACAGGGAATCTGGAAGATTCTTAGTGATAATTATGCTAAATCATGAAATGAAAGGTTGGGCTGTAAACCCAGCACTTTGGGAGGCTGAGGCAAGAGGATTGCCTGAGTCTAGGGGTTTGAGACCAGCCTGTGCAATTTGGCGGGACCTCATCTCTACAGTAAATTAAAAAATTAGACTGGCGTGGTGGCACACATCTGTAGTTCTGATACAGAGATCCACTAATGTCTGTCCATGTTGGCACAGCCCCTAGAGAAGGGCATGGCAAGAGCTCAAGCATTCCTGTACATCCCTGAACAATATTCCTGAGAGGTAATAAAATGTGTGCTTCTAATTATCTCCTATGCACTCCCAGTAAGTAGCTTCAGGGGATCCTTGACTTCCCTGTAGACTATGCCCAATCAACTGAAAGATGCAAATCTCCATTTACCCCCTTTTTCTGAGTGGTTATAAGTTTGAATAATACAGTATCAATGTAATTGTAAGCCTTGTGATTTGTATAATTTTGTATCAATGTAATCGTAAGTTTTGTGATTTGTATAACTTTTGCATAATGCATGATGTGTTAGGCTTTGTAAACTTCCTTTACTCTATGGCAAGCTTGATTAATGCTTCCACCAGACCCTACTGATAAAAGCTATGAGATACCTCTGCTACCTGGCACCAGGAAGTCTGGATGGAAAAATGTCACCATCAATAAATGTAGCTGAAACTCAAGTTGTATACAATGCTCTACTAGTCACGTGGCTAGTGTATAGGTACTAACAACTCTGGACTTATAAAAGTGAACTGTAAAAGCCTGGATGGTAAGCAGAACTATTTTAGAAAGACCTCTCCTCCTTAGATTTGAACTCAAATAAATTTCTTTCTCCCAGTTCCCTGCCCCCTTTAATTTATTGGTATCAAGGGGAGCAGCCCAGTGTTACTCAGACCATAACAGTTCCAGCTACTTGGAAAGCTGGGGTGGAAGGATCACCTGAGCCCAGCAGGTCAAGGCTGCAGTGGCCGTGAGTGTGCTACTACATTCTAGCCTGGGTGACAAAGTGAGACTCCTACTTAAAAGAAAGAAGCCAGGCATGGTGGCTCATGCCTGTAATCTAAGCACTTTGGGAGGCAAAGGCAAGAGGATTGCCTGAGCCCATGGGTTCAAGACCAACCTGGGCAACATGGTGAGCCATCGTCTCTACAATTAAAAAAAAAAATTAGCTGGGCGTGGTGGCACATGCCTGTGGTTCCAGGTACTTGGAAGGCTGAAGTGGAAGGATCACTTTGAGCCCAGCAGGTCAAGGCTGCAGTGGTGTGAGCATGTCACTACACTCTAGTCTGGGTGACAGAGTGAGACCCCCACTCAAAAAAAAAAAAAAAAGAAAGAAAGAAATGCTCTGGTGAGGCCTGCCTCTTTCGGCCGGGTCTGTTTGAGCTTATTCCATCCTGCAATTGGATGTGTATGTCTGACTGAGCTCTGTTCCTCTGATACAGCCATTTCTAATTTGGGGGAGGCTGGGGGGTAAGAAGGCAGAGGGTGGGGAGAAGGGTTAGGAGGGAGGTGAAACTCTCTGGGAGTTCCCTTCTCCAGCCTGTCTCTGCTGGAGTTCAGCCTTGAAGGGCCCGAGTGTAACAATTTCCATTTCAGCTTTTGAGAAATGCCTTTAAGGCTTTTTCTCTCCTACCCTATGCATTAAATATTTTTTTCCCTTTTGAATTTACTTGTGTACTTGCTTGAAAAATTCCAGAAGCTGTTCCAAAGGCTGACCTTAAAGTAACAGAGTGCAGAGAGCCCATGGCAAAATTCTCCACCCTTTAGAGGTAACCTGAAGGCAATTAATCTGGCCACAGTTGGGACAGGCGGGTCAGTTCTTCATGGGGACCACAATTCAAGCAAACCATCCAAGCAAGACCAGCTCTCCTGCCACTCCCAGATACCCCTCTTCCATTCGAGTCCCTTAAGAATCTCATCTTTGAGACGGGGGCTGGGCAAGATGGGGGCTGGACAAGATGGCGACAGGGCAGCACTGCCTGTGAAACTCTCCACCAAGGAGAACAAAGAGACTCTGATTCTCACCCTGAAGGCTGCGGATCCCATCATCTGCAGCCTGCTCTTCTCACGGAGCTCGAAGGTAGACTTTGGTGAGGCATCGCCAAGGTCTGGGCAGCTACTGTGGTGGCTGCTGCTGCCGTTCGGCCGGCAGCCATTCCACATCACACCGCCAGCACCTGGGGTGAGCCGCAGCCTCCTCCAAGGCAGCGGAGCCGTGTGGAGCCGCTCAGAGCCCTGCAGCCTCCTCCGAGAGAGCGGAGCTGCCGCCGCCCCCCCCCAAGTCAGCGGAGGCGCCGCCGCCCCTGCTCCGAGGCAGTGCAGCTGATGCCGCCCCCTCCGAGTCTGCAGAGGCACCGCTGCCCCCCCCCAGGCAGTGGAGGCACCGCCTCTCCACCC